AAAAAAAAAACTATAACTAAACCAAACCTCGCTGTAGAGTAGCTTCCAGTGATACGTGAACACCTATGTTTACATGGAGTAACACCACAGTAACACCAGAATAACACAAAGGTAACACAAACAAAAGCAGAATTCCTAAACCATACTAACGAAAAGAAAAAAACCCTCATGATAACAAACCACACTGTGGAACAACATCCAAAAGACACTACATCGAACACCTACGTTTACATGGAGATAAAACTAAAGCCTAAGCCACACAACGGTACTAAATAAAACGCAAGAAACAAGAGTAATAGCAGAGTAACACCACAATAACACAACAGTAACACCAACACTTACTTCATCTTGGCCTTCAAAGTTCAGGCTGAATGATGGCATCTCAACGTTCATGGAGGCTTCCGGCATCTCAACGTTCATGGAGAAATCGACTTCTGGCATCTGAAAGTCCATGAAGCTGTGAACTGGAGCTGTGAACGGAGCTGTGAACGGAGCTGTGAACGGAGCTGTGACCGGAACTATGAACGGCTATGAACGGAGCTATGCGAAGGTGTCAAAAAAACCAGCGAAAAAAACCAGCGAAAATAGAACAGAAGCTGGCGCGAAATCATTTTATTGTGGCGGGATTTTTTCGTGAATTCGGGTTTTGGGTCGGGCCCGGGTCGCGAATACCCCTAAATTACGTGGGACCGTAGTTTCCAAGTGGCGCATTTATATTGGCTACGCACCGTAAGGAAGGTGCGTAGTACTGAGGGAATATTTCTTCAAGCAAAAGATCCATTTCTTTTTGGTCCGCCTAACGAGGAAATCGGGGATGTCTTCACCTGCCACCTGCGGACCTCCGTTCAAACTTGGAGGGGTCTCATCATCTGTCATACGTAAGACAACGAATGTATCATTGGATGCCACCTGCTCCCCAGCCATGGCCTTTAGCGCGTCAGATACCGTCTGGGGATGGAGTCATCGTAACGGGGAGGGACCAATGGGCGTCGGGGTAGTCCGATTCACAGTCAAACTGGGGGCAGCAGTCGGAGGCTTGGGTGGTGCCCTATCAATCGACTGCGCAATCACAACTGCCCGTTGAGTATCCGCAACATCTAGATGAGAGCTCCCAGGGACCGTTCCAAAAGAGCCGGCCTGTATCGAGGCAATCCCTTCCTCTTCTTCCCTAAGAGTTTCCTTTTTCGGTTGCCCTCATGGCGTCTCTTACTTATGTAGCAAAACCTCGCTCAGAATAGTGATTTCAGACACTCTTTTCTGATGAAGATAGTCAGGATGCAAAGGAAAGCATACGCTAAGAGATAACACTGGGCAAACAAAATTAGAAAGACTACCTCTATTTATAAGAACGAAAGTAAAAAAAGTATTATAAGCAGTCTTTAGTTGAACATAAATCTCACTTCTTGATCACGAAAGAAATATTATATCAGGACTCTGCATGTAGAGTTTTGTGTGGAGTCCAATGAAATCACGTCATACGTGAATGTGAGAAAAAAAAAATTAGCCGGTAACACAGGAGAATATTTCTCCCATTTTATTTAGGTGTTATTGTGTGTTATTCAAGTGTTATTTATGTATTATTGATGTGTTATTATGTTATTATAACACTAGGAATATTTTCAGAATACAATAACACATGAATAAAATGAGAGGAATATTCCCCGGTGTTACTAGACTGATTTTTTTTTCTGACCTTCACGTGTGGAGTGATTTCATTGGATGCAGAGTTCTAATGTCATATTTTTTCCTTGGTCACAACTTGCAGCTTGCTAATATACCAGAGATTTAGAGAATAAAAATATGTATGATCGAAAAACATTGAATCAAATTCAAAACCTTCGGGCGGAACACGTGTAGAAAAATCAATCCAAACGAGCACAAAGAGACCAACCTGCACAAAGCGAATGATCCAATCTACCGAATCAAAAAGCCTGTCCGAATAAATAGACGAATGGTTAGCTAGCCTAAGAGAGAGATTCAACCATGATAACAATGGTCTTAACAATTACTGACCAATAAGAGAATTTTAAAGATATTATTGATATTTTATACTGAAACTTTTATTTATTATAAATATTTGAACAATAGTCCCCGAAAATGAACTTTTTTGGGAAGAAGGAAATATTATTAATATTGTTCTTAGAGTCTTTTATTTCTCTTTCTCATTATTTACTTTATATCTTCCATGTGCTTAAAGCTAACAATTTTGAAACTATCAAATTTAACAAATTTAGGAAAAATTATTGCATACGGAAAAATATAACAAGAAAATTTCCAAATTTTCCTAATAAAAAATTGCATGCAAAGACTTCTGGCGTCAATTTTAGGAAAAATTATTGTATACAGAAATGTATGCGGTGTTCGATCTACACCGTAGATCACGGTGATCTACGATGATGATGCAATCAATTTTTTTTTTAAAAAATAAAAAATAAAAAAAAAATTAAAAATAGAGCCCGTCAAAATACATCCCCACCTAGATCACCTTGATCTACGGTGTAGATCAGATATGCCGATTTACGGTGCAATAATTTTTCCAATTATAGAGGAAGAAAGAAAGTGAACCAATTCAATCCTTAAACCTTCAAATAAAAAAAATAAAAAATAAAAAATAAAAAAAAAAAGAAAATTAAGTTTACGTTAAACGATTATTATTTTTAATTGTGTCTTTATTTAGTACAAGATTTAACTTTTTCTTTATTTTTGTACTTCAAAAATAATTTAACTTCTAAAAATATTTTGAATTAACTTTTAGATGTTTGAAATACTTCTTAAGAAAAATAATTAAAAAATAAATATATAATTTAAGTGATTCCAAATATCCTCAGGCTATTTAAGAAATTAGCACATACCAGAAATTTTAAATTATCGCCCAAAAAAAAAAAAAAAAAACAGAATAAAAACTCCCAACCTATATTTTCCGTACCGTCAGATTCTTAAAAATATGATCATGCTTCGCGACGCACAAATATATGGACTAAATAATTCAAATATTGCCCAAATATCAAAATTCATATCGAAAATCCATCCTATATACAAATATTGCCAAATTTGATCATGACATACAAATTAGATATTTAACACAAAAAAGGGTTAGTTTTATGAATATGCATGTTCTGTGTTATATTATATACTTCTCCCAACAGCTAACTAGAACTCATTGATACAAAAAATTTTGTGTTTGCATGTTCGGAGGACTAACCACCAGTGGCCACATCGCCTGCCACTGACGTGTATGGCGACATGACCACTGGTGGTTGGCCGTCCGGATGTGCGGTGTCAGGACATAATATTTTCTCCATTGATACACACAAAACTCAAGCTCGCGAGCAGCAACACATTTACATCTTTATAACTGCACCAATGAATCGAAAAATTAAACTAGAACGGCTAAGCCTCAAGTTTTAAACTTTAAACTATATTCTGCTACTGCTTCATCTTCTTCCCAGCATCAACTCTCTGATTCCTCTCAGCTTCAGCTCTCCTCTTTGGAGCACTTTCAGAACCCATGTTAAAAATTCTGCTCTGTTTCTTCGATTTTTGGTTAACAAACTCCGAAAATGAAGGTATGGGGGGAAGATCCACCTTTCCATGTGACAAATCCACTGCGGCAGATTCACAAACATATTTACCTAAAACTTCATCCATTAACGGTTCCTCTCGGACCGACTGAACAAGAATTTGATTTGCAGAACCTCTTGATGATGATGAAGTAACAGCATTTTCGACCACTTTTGGTTTACTTTCGGCATCACGAACTGCAGAGTTTAGATTCAGCCGCTCCCTTATCTGCTCAAAGCTTGCCGATGATAGCCACCTCGCGGTCGCCGCAATCTGAGAAATATAAAAGGTTTTGCCAACCTTCTCATATTTCTTAAAGCAGTCCAATTCGAGCGAGGCCGAAGAAGATTCGATGTCGAGCCTGTAAAGGGAAGCAAATTTGATGCAAATCACAAGGGGCAGTTATTTACATACATACCATCCAATTCCTACATATTTACATATCCAACACCTATACATTCCTTCTTTTACATTTATACCACCTAAATCTTTCACGCCACATCAAAAATATCGTAACTGCATAGGAAAAGTGGAATATATGTAAAAATTGAAGTTTCAGTTTTAGATATGTAAATACATGGGAATTGAGAGCAATGTATGAAAATCTTCCAGCAAACAAGTTATCTGAATGAAAGAAGGCTTGTTGTAGGGAACATAAAAAAATTCTAAACATTATATTAATACTAAACAAAAGTGACATATAGTATATTATGAGGGGGATCCATGCAAGGAAGCACAAGCCATTATACTGAGACCAAAACATAGTTTTATAGCTGTATATGCTGATACCAGCTTTTTCCAATGTCGTTAAAATGTTAAATGAAAGATTTGGAATGCTTACGAATGGTTTCTCAGTCGCTCGTTAGCCTGATTCAGAGAATTTAAGAGCCTCTTCTTGCTCGCGTCTCTTAATGCCTCTGATATTACATTTCGGCCGGCAAGCTCGTGCTTAACCTGCAGCCCGCAAACAAAATTTTAGCATTATGAAAGATGGTTAAGTAACCTTTTAATGAAATGCTGGAAAATATCATTAAGTTTATGATTTTGACAGGAAAAAAGGTAACCCAGAAGCTATAACCTAATTCATATGTATGTACATATATCTAACGCATAAACTTATTTTTAAATAAATGACACTAAGTATATATGAAAACATGTATTTCACTTTTAAAAGTTAAAATTGTAATATTTTTATGTGATGTGAAGATTTGAATGATATACATGTAAATGAGAAAATTTTAGGGAGATATGTAAATACATAGGAATTGGGTGGTATATACTGGTAAATGCCCCTAAACAAAAAGATGACAATTAAAAGAGCGTCAGTAAATCTCTACACTAATCATATTCATTTTGTTAATCCATCAAAGAAGATTTTTCTCACCAAATGTCCCCTTTAACATTACCCTCCAGGGCCTCTACTAGAGCAGTTCCCGGACAACAATTTAGTAAAATTTCTTTCTTTGTGAAGCAAGGTAATTCATTTTCAGACTTGCCATAGCCCTATTTAAGCTTGAATAAAACTCCTACGAGAAAATGCGCTTAGCTAACCAGCTCTTTAAATTTGAGCTTTACTCAAATAAAAAGGAAGATTTACATACATACCACACAATTCTTATGTACTTACATTCGGAGCCCGTAAACTTAAATTTTTTAAATACATGCCACCTTATGTATTCATGAAAAAGGTGTATTTCATTTTTAATTTAAAGTTAAAATAGTGATATTTTAGATGTGATATGAAAGATTTGGATGGTATGAAATTAAAAAGTATAAGTTTAGGTGTTAGATATGTAAATACATAGGAACAGGGTGGAATGCATGTAAATGCCTCAATTAAAAAACCAATCCAATTTTCAATCAATTTTAAATCATCAATGCATCCCGAGTTCGTTCATTAATTAGATGAAGCATGCCTTCATAGGAGAGCAAAAGTGACTATGGCAACTCAATTTTAGTGATTACTATTTTTTTTTCTTAACTTGGTCACGTGGAATAAAGCTTCATGTCATTATTCTACAACCAAATTTTATTACGGTTTATAGGAAGAAAAATATTTTATGCATTCAAAAAACTAATATAGGCTAAGGCCGGAGGAGAAGACCTGGGGCGGTGGTGGCATTGGCGAAATAGTACAAGGACAGGAAAGGATTGGAGGCAGCGTGGTAGGTTGGTGGGGGGGTGGGGCGGCAGGGAAAGTGGTGGGGAAAGCAACGGAAGGTGTTGGGTGCTGGTGGGGGTGACCCGGACAGCAAGGAGAACTGCCTGGAGTGTTCGGCGGGATGCAGGTTGGTGGCCAGAGCGCTGGACAGCAGGGTCTGGCAGCTGGGGAAGGGAGGACAGGGTGTTGATAGGTGGATGGGAGGGCTGGAAGTGGGCGACAGTGCAAGGAGGATGTGTTGGAGGCAGCCCACGACTAGGGTGAAGGAAACAAAAGGATTGGAGAAGGGGATTAAGAAAGAAAAAACTTCACCACCTCCTCGGTTATAGCCGGAGCACTAAGAGTAACCTGAACCTTCCCGCCCGATGGGGAGTTGGTGGCACAGAATCGACCGTGAAGCCTTGAAAAACTCTGCCATAGCTATCCCATGTCTGGAGCATGTATCTAAACCCTCTCATCCCGTGTCGTAACCAAAACTTGCCCCACATATGCTGCTTGCTGATAAGGGCTCCTGTGATCTCAGGCTCCATGGAAGAAAGTAGGATGATGCACTTCCCGCCCTTGGTGAAAAAATAAGTGTTTCTGAATCTGTCGTGCTGATTCTTCCAGTCAAACTGCCATGGTCGTCCCAATAGAAGGTGACAGACATCTATAGAGAACATGTCACACCACACCTGGTCATGTAGCTGGCCCCTAGTTGAGAAATCTACTAAGCAACTCCAGTCGATGCTGGTATGATTCTCCTTCAGTAACATCAGTTAATATGACTCAGAATGACTGAGTAGTGAGTACCAGTTTCTCTACCATCTGTGTCGATGCCACTTTCTTGCTGCTCCCACCGTCAATGATGAGACTGCATACCTTTTCGTTCACTGCGTAGCGGGTGTAGAATATGTTGCGGCAAAACCACTGCGAATCTCTTATGTCCTTAGTTTGCGGGATCTGTCGAATCACGGGCGCCTCTTCTGCATCTGGGGGAAGTTGATACACATTATATTGTTCCTCAGTTTTCTCCTCTTCGTTGATCTCCTCCACGATGCCCTAATCTGTGAGTGACTAACTTGCTCATAGGGCAGCTAGAGATAATGTGGTCGTAGCTGTGGCATCTGTAACACTTCCTGGTCGATACAATATTGGAGGAACTAAATTTCTCCTATTTCTTCCCGCTCTGATTCGGAGTGTCATTCTCATGTCCGTGCTTGCTAATGTCTTCCAGGGTACCCTGTAGGTCATGGTAACTGTAGGAGACTGCCTGCCCGACGATTGCTGCCTGAAAGATGACCGTTGTCTGCTCTATTTCTAATGCCTCTCCACTTTCAGGGATAGAGTCAGAATATCTCCAAGTAACGAATAAGGCTGCATATGTACTACATTGCTAATAACTGGCTTCAGGCCCCCTAGATAATGCACTGTAGTGTCCTCCTCGGGCTCGACTAGATCATACCTTAGCTGCAACCGATCAAAATGCTCTGCAAACTCCTCTAGTGATAGATCCCTTTGCTGCAGGCGGTGGAGCCTTAGAAACATATCCTAATGATAATGAGGCGGGAGATATTTCCTCTGCATCACTTTCATCATCTTCTCCCACCTGGTAATTTTATCGCTGCCTTTTTTTTCCTCTATCGTTGCAAGTTTTCCCACCATAAAGAGATACTTTTCTTCAACTTGATAACAACTAATTTGACCCTCATATCTTCTGGCACATCCTTCATCTTTTCTTTTCCAATCTCCTTCTCTCCACCCCTCATCTCTACTTCTCCACACTTGTTCTTCTTATTCTTCTACACTCATCTCTACTTCTCCACACTTGTTCTACTTGTTCTTCTCCACTCATTTCTCCATATTTCTCCACATTACTCCTCTTCTCTCTATTCTTCTTCTTCTTTTACATTCTCTTCACTTCTCCACTGTCCTTCACCTCTCTTCCCTTCCTCCTCACCTATGAAGCATGGTCACAGTCACGACACGACATGACATAATACGGGGACACGACATAATCGAAAAAAATAGGACATGACATAATTTTATATTTATTAAATATAGATTTTTTCATTATTCTCTATTAAAAACATCAAAACACAAATTATACAAGAATAACATTTAACGTCATAAATTTAATTTATATTATAAAATCACATGCTTATGAAAATTACTTTTAAAATTAGATATAATATGTTTTAAGAGAATTAATCCAACTTATCTTATAAGATTTTAAAAAACGTATAATTTCAAAGTGGGAATTACTAATGTTCGGTTTCGATGAATATTTGATGCACCTTTGATGCTCGATTTTGACAAATATTAGAGGGAGTTTCAACATGACGATAGATTAGGCGGTTTGACTATGAGGTAAAATTAAGGCTATACATATATTTATAATTTTCTAATTCCTTTGTCCTGTTTTCTTGAAATCATATTAAGCTCACGTTCGATGCAGTGTTGAGGTGTGATCTAGACTGTTTGGGCCTGAAAAAAATTCAGACATATGTTTTGTAGTGTCAAAGAAGTGTCATGACATGTCAGACAAGTGTCGGTGTCTGATATATATCCGCATGGGTAAGACACATTTTTAGAAGTGTCGGTGCTACATAGCTCCTCACTATTACCTCTCCTCTAAAAGTATTTTTATTCAAAATGCTTGATGGTCTCTTCACCCATGGTATGTTAAGAGCATCATGTTAGTGTAATGAATGCCCATGTTACTTCTTCATGTTAGGTATGTGTTAGGGTAAAGAATATCCATGTTTCCACTTCATGTTTTAAGCATATTCAGTAACAAAATATCCATGTTTCATTATGATTTTAAGCATGTATAAGTGAAAGTACTTTCCATGCATTTTTCCTTCATGTTAATATCATGTATGAGTCCTCTCATTCCCATGGTTTTCTCATATGTTTAAGCATGTAAAAAATAAAGAATAAGGGTGTGTTTGGGGGGGCTTATTTGCAGATTGTGCGTTTTGAAAATGCACTGAATTAGTTTGTTTTTCGCGTCTTAGCTGCGTCCCATAAAACGCCGTTTTGGGTTAAAATAAGATCGCGGCCCGCACCCTCAGGGTTGCGGGCCAATGTTTCACGCTTTTTTTTATTTACTTACCCCTCTTCCGCAGCATTCCCAGCTCGTGCCCTAGGTATAGCGATATGAGAAAGACGAGATCGCAAGTTTCGATCGATCATGCTTGATCTTTCTCATGCATTAATTTTCTCTTCTCTCTTCTCCCCTGCGATCCGCCCTCGCTTCGCTCTGTAAGTACTTATCCCCTGCGATCAGTTTTCTTGTTTACCATAAGTTGGAGGATTGCGTATGGATGGCTTTCAGGGATTGTGTATGAATGAAGCATTCCGATTTTTATGGAGATAATTTCTCCTTGCAATTTTATTGAGTGATCAGTGCTCTGGATTTCAGCCGTCTCAGTTCCATATGCGGTGGCCACGATCACGAGATTTCTAACTTTGTTCTTATCTCTTTCTGAAATTTGATAACTTCTTGTATGTTTAGTTCTAAAATTTAGTGTGATGATTCTTGAGCATCAGAATAACTTTGTGCTATTTGTGAATCTTCCCCCAACTCATTGTTGTCGAATGTCCCAATTGCTAAATTGTTTGTGGCCAGTCTTGGAATTCTTCTCTGTTGCTATTTTGCTTCAATGCATCTAAAATGAACGTTGATTTGTTACATTGGTTGTATATTTTGAGTTGATCTATTCCGTGGCATTTCAGTGGTATTATGTTTCATCATTCTTTACTTAAAATACTTTTATAACAGGAAGGAATGAATGACAATCTCTATTAA